CACTGCAGGGGGTAAGGGTTCTATCCCTGGTTGGGGAACTAAGATCCTGCATGCTATGCTGTGAGGCCAAAAAAAAAAACAAAACAAAAAATAAATGATGATTATATTGAGGGTTTTCATCTTATTGAATATTTACTATGTGTCAGCCATTACGTTAAATTGTTTACATATAAATCATGTTTTAACAACCCATGTCAAAGTTATGATGTTACTTTTGTGAATGAGGACACAGAGACTCAGAGAGTTAACGTCAGTCCAAAGTTGGACATTATACAAAAAGGATGGTAATGTAAGATTTGAATCTGGCACATTCTTTCTTCAAGGTCTTGGCCATTACACTACAAATCTTTTAGGTATTCAAAAGGTTGTACAGGAAGAAAAACTTTCCTGTAACTTCTCAAGTTTAATAACTGGAGGCCTGTGAATTAAACTGACAAAAGACAGATTAGCAAGAGGGAAAAAGCAAAGTTTATTTGCATGTAAAATGCACAGTTGTGCAGGAATACTCAGTGGTTATTGAGTGAAAGGAAGTGGTTAGAATTGGGAACTTGTATACCATTTCAACAAAGGGTGATAAATTATGGAGAAGTGACTAGACAAGGAAAAGGGAGTTTGGGCTTCTGGCGTGGGAGGCAAGTTGTAGGAAGGTAACTAGGAAATGTATGGGAGAAACAAATGGTAGACAAGAAACTGTGCAGACTCATCTCAACACCATCTCGATGATAAGAGTTGTTCTTCTCTTCCTGGTATGGCAGAGGGGACACCTTTGCAAATGGAAATTTCCTTTATAAATGGAAATTTCCTTTACAAAAGGGAAATTTACATCCTGCTTTTAGGCAGATTGGGGGAGGAAAGAGATCTCTTCCTGTGTCTATTGTTTCTTAATTGCTTTCAGCTCAAAATAATTCTTATGCCAAAGTGGCATATGTTGGGATAGCATATTCTGATCTTCTTCAGGTTTTATGAATAACTAAATCTTATTTAAGTTCTTTGTAAAGCAAATAACTACTGCAATTATCTGTTTATAAAAGGATAATTTTGTATATTGTTTCCCTAAAGCAGTGATTGGCTCTTCAGAAGACATTTGGCTATATCTGGAGACCTTTTCGGCTTCCCTGAGGGCTCCAAGAAACCTCTTGAGAAACCTGTATGCAGGTCAGGAAGCAACAGTTACAACTGGACATGGAACAACAGACTGGTTCCAAATAGGAAAAGGAGTACATCAAGGAAGTATATTGTCACCCTGCTTATTTAACTTATATGCAGAGTACATCATGAGAAACGCTGGGCTGGAAGAAGCACAAGCTGGAATCAAGATTGCTGGGAGAAATATCAATAACCTCAGATATGCAGATGACACCACCCTTATGGCAGAAAGTGAAGAAGAACTAAAGGGCCTCTTGATGAAACTGAAAGAGGAGAGTGAAAAAGTTGGCTTAAAGCTTAACATTCAGAAAACTAAGATCATGGCATCTGGTCCCATCACTTCATGGCAAATAGATGGGGAAACAGTGGAAACAGTGTCAGACTTTATTTTTGGGGCTCCAAAATCAGTGCAGATGGTGATTGCAGCCATGAAATTCAAAGATGCTTACTCCTTGTAAGGAAAGTTATGACCAACCTAGATAGCATATTAAAAAGCAAAGACATTACTTTGCCAACAATGGCCCATCTAGTCAAGGCTATGGTTTTTCCAGTGGTCATGTATGGATGTGAGAGTTGGACTGTGAAGAAAGCTGAGCGCTGAAAAATTAATGGAGAAGACTCTTGAGAGTCCCTTGGACTGCAAGGAGATCCAACCAGTCCATCCTAAAGGAGATCAGTCCTGGGTGTTCATTGGAAGGACTGACGCTGAAGCTGAAACTCCAGTTCTTTGGCCACCTCATGTGAAGAGTTGACTTACTGGAAAAGACCCTGATGCTGGGAGGGATTGGGGGCAGGAGGAGAAGGGGACAACAGAGGGTGAGATGGCTGGATGACATCACCAACTTGATGGGCATGAGTTTGAGTAAACTCCGGGAGCTGGTGATGGACAGGGAGGTCTGGCGTGCTGCGATTCATGGGGTCGCAGAGTTGGACACGACTGAGCGACTGAACTGAACTGAACTGAGGGCTCAGAGATAAAAGCATTCACCTGCAACTGTAGGTTTGATCCCTGGGTTGGGACAGGAAGATCCCCTGGAGAAGGAAATGGCAACCTAGATCAGTATTCTTGCCTGGGAAATCCTATGGACAGAAAAGCTTGACGGGCTACAGTCCATGGGGTTGCAAAAGAGTTGGGCACAACTGAGAGAAAACCTTTTTGATAGTCATGGCTTGAGAGTGAGGGTGCTACTGCATCTAGTGAGTTGAGGCCAGAACAGACCTCCACAACATACAGAATATCTGGCACAAAATATTTAAAGGGCTGAAGTTAAGATACCCTGACATATACTGAGGTAGATGTAAACACTTAACAAAGTTTAGCCTCTTTATTTTTTTCTAATGTTTTACAGTCTCTGACTGAATGTATTCTTTATGTATGAAATGAACCTTGTTTATATTTTAAAGGCTTCCTCCCCTGTCATCTTTTAGTTTAAATTTAGAAATGGGATGAGGGAAAATTGCATATCAGTTGAATACTTTTAAAATACACATATCTAAGTTTTAAGTGCCACTTTACTCAGTTGTTTATGGAAACATTAACTTAAAATTCGAATCCAGTGCTTCTCTGTAAGTTAAAAATATAAATCATACTCTGTTCTTCCTATATAAAAATGATGCCAAAGGACACAGATAGTAAACATTCTTCTTCAGACTGACTGACTGGTAATAGTGATGGGTCTGCGTTGAGTCATCAGATCTTTCAAGTCGTCTTCCTGGGAGCCATTTGGAAACTAGTCAGCTCGGCACAGAGATCTGGTGTGTGACTATAGAACCTCGTTCTTTGTGAGAAACTAAGCGATACACGTTTGATTCTAATCTGTGCTATTAGTCTTGACAGCATTATATTTTCTTGTTAAGTTCCAAGAACTTTCCTGGCCTTCAGAGTTTCCCGGCCTTCATGGTTTGAAAGTCAAAATAAAAATGCATATGATAAAGTGAAATTCATATTCATTTAAGCATTCTTCTTTCCCCTTAAAAACAGTCCTTAGAAGTTCTTCAGGTAGGGAACAGCACTTGAAGAGGTGAACAGTCAGAGCATTCCTGTTCCCTCTTATTCCCCTGCTTAAAACATCAAAGGCTAGAATTTAAGTGTTCATGAAGTTGTCTGTTTCCCGACAGACATTAAAATCAACACACCGTTTTGGAACATCCCAGCATAAAACAATGTACAGCTTTTTTGTTCAGCATACAGTTCTGTGTGTAGACCAAAGCACCGAAGCCACTTTACCCCAACTGTGGCATCATGCTGTGAGAGGCTAAGCATGCTCATGTTGTTTCCATCAATATTTTGATTAGAACTTGTAACATTTCTCCTAATGAATTTCTGGGTTTCATCTGAATTAGCTTTTAAAAAGTTTTAAGATTTTTATATGTAAACAGAGGAGACAAAGTATCACGATCTTTCTGAGTTTTCTTTAAAAAAAAAAAAAAAAAAAGCTCACTCTTCTTATCCAATAGTCCTCATCACAACTACACGCGATAATTTTGGCCCAATGAGCATTATGACCATTGGGTCACTGCACCGTTTCAGCTTAAGAAAAGGATGGTGCAATCGCGGTCATCTCTACCAGGGGAACACAGAGAACGCTCAGTGTTAAATATGACACCTATAATTAGGGAGACCTATGGTTATACCGCAGCAGTTTTAAGGATGAGGTAATTTTAGGAGCGTCGAAAAAGCAGCAATTAATTACGTTTTCAACGCAGCCTGTGCTGCGGTACATTCTTCGACACCCAGTTATGCTCTGAAAAAGAAATGCCTGCTCTCTGTTGACCTATCGGATTAGCGTGGCTTTGTTATTGAGGGTCTAAAATTTGAGATTTAGAGTTCAAATCTCTTAGACTTTATTCTAACTTCTTAGGCCCTTACATCACCTCCCTGAGATCCAAGCGGCTTGCAACTAATGAAGTCTGTGAACAGCCAGAGACCTAAGGCATCACGTTTCACTAAGAAAAAAACCAGAAGGTCTGCGATTAGATTAGGCAAGGTGGGGGAAAGGGTTATTGGCAGGTAGGACGCCGGAAAGTTACAACTCGGGTTATTCTTTAACCGGCGCCCTTTAACGGCCGGCGTGTAGGTGGCTCACTCGCTAACTTGAAAATGAACTTCAGGTTCTCTTTACTTGGGGAGACTTTCTGAATCTGAGAACCTGGCGGCGGTTCAACGACCCCGCCCTCGGGGTCCCCAAGGGACATCTTCCGGAGAGCCCGATTGTCTGGGGCGAAGGCTCAGGGAAAGCGGGGAGTGAGGGGGCGAGGAACGCGGGTCCCGAAAGCCAGCCCAACCCGGCCTCGCTCCCCTCGGGTGGAAACTTCCCGGCAGCGAGTCAGGCAGGAGGGGGCGGCGGGGCGGCGGATGCAGGAGGTTATCGGTCAGTGCGGCGGGCGCGGTGGGGCCGGTCCTGGCCGGGCGGGAGGCGCGGCAGGGGACGCGGGATGCTCGGCTTGTCTGCATGCACGCCCTGGAGGCAGAGCGGTCGGCTTCTGGGCCTACCGGCTTCAACAGTTTTTTTTTTTTTTTTTTTTCCATTCGTTCGGTGAGCGCGGGTGCTGCAGGAGGTGGCGCGGCGGATGTGACTCGCACTGCAGACGAGCCGCATGCTGCAAACTTTTATCTCCCCGATCGCTGGGGCGGCGGAACTGGGGACCCGGCAACGCTGCCGCATCTCCCTCCTCCCGCGTGCCGGGCCCGCAGCCTGTGGTCGGTGGCCGCGCGAGCAGGCAGCCGCGGTCGGGGTGGGGTTGCGGGGGCGCCGCCCTGGTCTTCCAGCGCCCCCGCGCCGCGCCGGGGGGCCGCGTCCTGGGGGACTCAACCGGCGCAGCCGCGCCTCTGCTCTCTAGCTCCGCACCCCTGCCTCCCATCAGCAACCATGGGTAACCGGCCTACGTAGGAGTTCCGGGGACCCAGGTTCTTTCCTGAGGCCAGGGAGGATGCTGGCCTCACTCCCTGACAGCCCCAGCTCCACTCCCGCCTTGCAGCCTGGCTTTCCGCGCCGCCTGCTGCCCAGCCCGGTCGCCCGGAGAAAGAAGGCGCTCTGGCCTCCTGCCGTGTGCTGGGCCAATGCTTCTTCTCTGGTCCAGGGCCGAACTGCATGAGTTAAAGCCGAGGCTCTCGGTGACCTGCTCCTTGCCTTTCTGTGCCTTCTAGTTGGCTCACAAATATCCCCTTATCTTAGATTTTAAAAAACCTGGCAAAGTCGAATGGCAGGAAGCCGCCGTTACTTTTCTCTGGGCCAAGCACGTGAAGGACCAGATTTGTGTTGACCCTTGTTGGATCATCTCGTCTGAGAGGCTTGTTAAACCCAGTTAGGGCACCCTCCAGATAAAGTGGGCCCTCATTATTGGCGGTGGGATGGGATGCTGCCTTCTCGTATCTTGATGTTTAAGTACATGATGAAAAAGGAATTCAGGATATTTATTTTAAACTCCCCCCCTTCTTTTCGTGAAAAAGAATGCGGCTCTCCCTCCCTTTATAAAATTAAAACCGATAATAAGAATTTCATTAGGTGTTTACCCTTTATCACCTGCTACTGCAGGAATGGAACATAGCATAGACTGAAATAGACAAATGATGGGCAGAACAGTAGCCTAGGATATGAAAGCTCCAAATAACCTTAAATAGGCATCTCAACATAAAATTCTTCAAAACCCAGGCCTTTTATAACTTTTTGCCAGACTCACGGGGTATGTCTTCCTGTCACTCCATGAATTATGTATCTTCAAGGGGTTTTTAAAGCCTGTTCAGTGCAAACTCCTTTCACCTGCTAGCTAAGCCCCTTCATCTTCCCAGTCTTACTGTCTGCTTTCAACCTACTTGCCCGCACCCACATTCTGATTGCGCTGATCGCACACTGTCAGCTGTCCTGGGATACACCTGGCCTTCCATTCCTTGCTGTCTTTCACAGCCTCTTCTCTTAAGTGCCCATCTTTGTAGTTAATCTCACTCAGCTTGCGATGAATGTTCTTGAAATGCCTTCTGCTTCTTCCAAGGCAAAGTATGGTGGCTTCTTCTACTTTTTTTTAACATGGCTTACAGCATGTAATTCCATAGTTTTTATTTGCACAACAAAATCTAAAGGCCTACTCTTTCCCAAGCATTGTGCTAGTTTTTGCGTTTAGAAATGAATAAAATGGTCCTTGCCCTCAAGGGCTTCCCAGGTTTAAGTAACTGATTCTATAGGATGTGATGAGTGAGTACTGGTAGAGCATAAAGGAGGGACTGACTGCTTGCTCGGAGAAATAAGGAAGCAGAGTATTCCGCAGAAGACCTCTGAGCTGAATTTTGAAGTCTGAATAAGTTTGTAAGTTGCTTGATTATTTCCATTGCTGCTTTTCCTTGTCAGCTGTGAACTCCTTTAGTGTCTTACTTATCCCTCTGACTCCAGTACATAGAGATGGTCCATAAAAGTTAATTGATGTTAAGTTGCCACATGTTTCCATAGGGTCTAGGACCAGTATTTATTTATAATCAATTTCTATGCTTATTTTGTTAATTATCAGGGTCAATATGCAAGCTTGCAATATGCAAGACAACATGCTTGTCTTTTGAAAGCAGTGTTTTGGGTTGACCAGTTTTATGAACTGAAATGAATAAAATCTTAGTTTAATTAAAGTGATGGGATTGATTGCAGGGCTTCTTTCTGCTTGCAGTAGCAGCATTGTTAATTACGGTTGGTCAATTTCATTAAAAAAAAAATTTACCTGAGGAATTTGCCAGCAGAAATACCTGCTTGTTACTTCTACGCTGATTTTTGTACATTCACACTGTAGGAAGGGTTTTCCTACATTTAAAATTATCTCATATTTTTCCAATTGAAAAAGACGGTCTGTGTGGTGGCCGTGTGGTTGAAAAGTCAAATTGCTGGAGTAGTGTTTTCCAAGGGCTTGATGTTGTAGGGAATTACATACCATTTTCATTTAGCATTTAATGCTAGTTAAGTAATGAGTGAACTTGCGGTTAAGCACTTCTGCTTAAACATTACACACAGAAGTTTGTAGTTCAAACATGGAGCCAGTTTCAGTGTGAACGCGGGTGGACAGCCTTGGCCTCTTGGGGGCCACAAGGCAGGTGTCATATGATGGGACTCCGGCAGTGTGAACCGTGACCAGCAGGAGGCTCAGGTGTGCCTGAGCAGAAGGCCAGGGGAGGCCAGGTGTTTTAACTTTCCAGCGTGGCATGGAGCACTTTTTCTTCTTTTCCTTCTGGCATAGGTTGAGGCCTCAAGATTAAGAGAGAAGAGGTTTACTGAAGTCCAAACAAAGCAGGTTCAGTTGTTTGATTTCTGTTTTAGAAGAATAAACACAGGATTTTGCAAGTCTAAAAATAACCTTTTCTCTTTGTTATTTCGTTCTTGCGTGATAAAAGATCAGTGGAGAATTTCTAATGGTAATCTGGTTCAAAAGGTTATGGGCAGCCTGGAAATGATGCAAAATCTGTTGGAGAGAGCTTTACAGAGAGAGGTTAACTATGTTGTGAACTGATTAAATTTCTTGTTTTAGCCGTCAGTATTAGTAGATTTAAAATATTTCTGTCTCCTACACAGAAGTAACTGCTCTTGGGGGGTGTTCTAGCCTGTTTAACACCCTTCTTCAGCCTCATTAGTCTTTGTTCTTCACCACCCCCAACTACCCCCATCTCACTCTCAGATCCTTTATTTAGAAGTATATGAGGCACCCAAAGATATGCCAATTGAAAAATTAGTTTATTTGTTGGTGTATTAATATTATCACTTCAGTTTGCTAAACAAAGAACAAAAGATGAATCATGAAAATGTTGACTTGGGTATCCTTAATCAATTGAACAACCTCAAGGAACTTCCCTGTCAAAAAGTTGTAGTCAGTGCAATACAAGTTTCTGTATTTGACTCAGATAATTTCAGCAGAGGCTGGTATCTTTGTTGGTTTTCCTGTGAAAAACCCTAAATAGACTTAGGCCTCAGAACATGTTTGATTTTTCTTAGTTTTTGTGCAGTATGAGACTTTCTGTAGTTTTACACCTTATTTCTAAGCATTGCTTCACTTTCATCCTAGACAGTCACTTGGAGTCATCCAAAAGGACCACCTACTTCATCTCTGGTCCTCGTCAACAAAAAGAATTTGGTTTCTGGTCTCCTAACTGTAGTCTGACAGAGGGCTTCTCCAGTACTCGGGTTTATTTCTCTCCCAGGGGCTTTGTTTAACTATTCCAGTGCATTTCCCCCAGGTCCCAGGTGCAGGTAACAGGCAACTGGCCAGGTCTTTAAGCAACAGTAGCCGAGAGCACTCCCGCTCTGTGCTCTCGGAAGTTCCGTGGAGCTCTACGGTTTAGGGTTTAGAACTGGTTTTATAGGTGTTCGAAGCATCATGAGGACAGTGGAGCTACACTGGGTCACACTTGTTTGCCGGAGGCCTCAGAGGTATGGAGCACTGAATGCCCGCATTCTGATCTCCCAGACCTATAAGCCGGGCTGCTTGGCCATTGCTGTCAGTGGGTTAAATTTTTTTTTTTTTTTTTTTCTAAAAGAGTCTTGAGGTGCTTAGCTTCGTGCAAGTGTTTTGATTTTCATATCATTTCACTTTTTCTTCTTGGTAAGGAGAAAAATGTATATAGAACTCTCGTGTTTTTTTCGTTATTGTGATAAAATATATGTAACATGAGATTTACCATTTTCTAAGTGTACAATTCAGCAGTGCTAATTACACTGACAGCAGAAATGCTTTTAAACGTGCTGTTCAAACTAGCATGTATGAAAAATCTCTAGGTTAAGAGAAACTTGTGGTAGAATTTCCATAGTATTTGCTTTATTTATGCATTTGATTTGTGACCAGTAACATGAATTTCCTTCCATCTGTTGTAATCTATTGTGTCCCACATTGTTGATGATGTTGGAGAGTAACTTGAAACGTGGTGGGCTCTCGAGTGGGGCGGCCTGGTCTGTTTCATGGACGGGCAATGGCAGTTTCTGGCTGTGTGATCTTAAGCCAAGTTGCTTAGAGGTGTCTGCACTTGGTATCCTCATTCAGGACCTGGAAATGGTAACAGTAGGGTTTGGGGGAAAGGGAGACTGTGGAGCACTTAGAACAGTGCCTGGCTCAGGGTGAGCTTTCCGGGAGCCTGAGCCTGCAACTGTTGTAGGCTGCGCCAGCTGATCAGATCCACGTTACTGGGAGAGAACCCTGGCCAGACTTTGGAGCATCTTGGAGTTTCTTTGCCCAGGAGAGTTGGCTCTCGAGTCCCCGCCTTCTGGTGGGCGGCTGGCTGGGGAGCCCGAGGGCCCTGCGGGGAGGAAGCTGCAGAGACCTGTGGAATCGGACAGCTCAGGGCTTTGGGTGCCAGATGGCTCTCTGACAAGTGGTAAGGGCATCCTGCAGGAAGATGGGTGGAGGAAAGGCCCGGCTCGAAGGGCTTCATGAACAACCTGCTCTGACTGCACTTTTCCCCCACCTCTGGAGGCTGCCGCGCTGGCAGGAAATGCTGCTGACTCAGAGAAATCGTCCCTGTGTGCCCCAGTAAGGCAGAGGGCATTTGCCTGCAGATCAGGTCATCACTGTGACTCCCCTGTCTCCTTCCTTGCCTCGCTGCCCTTCCCGCCACTTATAAATACTCTCAAGTCTCCCTCTTAACAGTTTCACAGCAAAGGAGAACGAAACAAGACACTCTCACTACTCCCTCCTCTAGCTCCTGCCTTATCTCTTTCCTTCCCTTCCCAGTGGAGAACCTCCCTTCCACTGCTTACTTATATCTGGCCACTACCCCTTTGCTAAGAAGCCGAAGTTGGAATCTCCATGATCACCGTGGCCTTCTGTGACTGCAGCCAGTGACTCGGCAGGGCTTCCCTCTGTTCCTCTCTCTGCAAGAGTTGACGCCACCTATCTTTTCTCCTACTACTTCCCTG